CTAGTGCAACTTAAAATCGCCGGTTATTTCAATTTCTTCTAGTAGAACTTGAAATTTTAATTTCTACTAGTAGAATTTTAAATTCTACTGAATTTTAATTTCTACTACGACATATATACACTTTTCTCTAACACTCAACAAACAATATTGTTCATTATCAATTGTCTTCTTGAAGTTTGAAGAATTATCATTGTGTATCAATTTGTTGTATTTCTTCTGTAAACAAATGATGAACGCTATCGTAGTCATCATATTATGTCATAATGGATATCAGACATCTTGTCATTAGTTTGATTCTTGATAGTTACTCTGAGACATAGGCATGGTTACGGTTTATGTTGTATTTGATTAAGCATAACTGATTGATAGGAAATATCGATATGATTATTCATTTTGCTATCGTTAAGAAAAGCCAATATTAATTTTGTAATTATTTGTATCAAAAAATGATTGGATATTTGGTTTTAAAATTAGTTCGAGAATTTTAATTTATACTAAATTATAACTGAAAAGATTGACTTAAATTTTTGTTTTTAAATATGAGAAAATTATTTCGTATATGCATACATAAGTAATGAATAAAATAATCTTATTCATGCTGTGATTTCATTCGAAAAGAATATTCTAGTACCAGCTTAATTTGTTCCGTCTTGTTTTTAAATAGATTAAATTGAGATTTGAATTTTATATCATCACGCGATATTGTCAGCGAATATACACGTGCTATATGAATACTCTCTTGTGGTATGCACCTTTCATCCAACCAACTTCATGTATCACACGTTCACTTTTTGCTATTATATGCCTATTATCACATTTTTAACAAGTTACCGCTGCTAGTATGGCGACATGTAGTGATAATGAAATCAGGAAAATTATATTTTATTTTTATACTAGTCATCTTGTTCCCGCTTTTTATTCATTTAGTTCTTTGAAAGAGAAAAAAAAACCATTTTCAATCTTGTGATAACGTTAAAATAAAATACAAAAAAAAGAAAAGAATCGATATTCCACAGGAAAGAGTTGAGTTAGTAGTTACATTTAATTACGTACAATCGATTTGTTGAAATTACTTTTCAAAATAATTGTTGATTGAAAAATTCATCATTTTCGTTATGGTACACCATGTAATGGTTAGGAACCGTTTGATTGATGAAGTTTATCAACCAGATCGAGTCCCTGAAATGTTATTTTGAAGCTAAATTACTGCATTGAACTGTATTTCATAAGAATTGCTTGAGTACAGTTCGAAGAATCTGAACTGATTTATATATGACATATTCAAAGTTTGTTACCTACTATCATTTCATAGATTCGTTGTAATAACTACTAGCTCAGATATTTTTTCAAGTAAAAATTAAAGTAACTCTTTTTTATGAACTTTTATGTGTCAAAGCCACTATTTTTGGTATGCCCTAAACTATTGGTTTATATGAGAAACATAAAAGACACGTTGTTATCATGAATCATTAATGATAATCTTATGTCTTAATTAGCAGATAAATCTCAGTAACAATTCTTTAGATTAATAAATATGAGTATTTATTCTTTTATTTAAAAAAAAATATGATCGTAAGAATTTGATTCTTTTATTCTCATGGATAAAGTTGATAATAATAAAAAAGAAGCATTTTATAGATAACAAGAATCTGATTTGAAATAAGTAATTTTTGTTGTATTAAGATGAATGTTTAGATAGTATAAATCGTAATTTCAATATCATCTTCTTTGAATACATTTTGAATTAGTTGAGATACTTTATTCCAATCAAGTTTATCTAATCCACAACCTATTCGAGGCATTCCTAAATGACGAACATTATGTTGAATACATAAATCTCGCATTACTCGAAGACTTGATTCTAATGTAGCCATAGTTGGTTTATAAAAATATCGTTCTTTTGTTACCAAATAAAAAATACAACGATCATCTGCAGTAAGATAAGCACAACCGCCAACTGGTACATCTATGCAAATCAACAGAAAGAATATAAAAAAAATAAAAAATTCTTTCTAAAATTTTGTTAAATTGAGTAGATTTTCATTCGAGTATGTATCCAAAACGACTGCTTAACTTCGAATTAATTTACTGATTTCAAATTAGAAACGCACTTTGTTTTTGTAGTTCATTGATTTGACCAAATTTATCACGAAATAACATTGCAATGCCTTTCGACATATTCAAATCTCTTGAAACACAATGTGCAAGCGATGTAATTGATGAAGCTGAAAAAAGATCACCATGCATTTCACGAAAGATTAATGGCATTGTTTTTAAATCTTAAATATGTAAAAGTATCAATCGATTTCTTTCGATGCTATCAGAGAATGTTCATTGAATTATATCTCTAATTAATTTTAATTTATTAAATAAAAACTTATATATATATATATGTATATAGCGAACTTATTTAAAAAAATAATTAGCACTGTATTTAATGAAGAAATAAAATAAAAAAGAAACGAGATTCAGCAAAATTAGAAATTCATTAACAATGACGAATAAATAATAAATAAATAGTTAACAAATGAACAGCACATAAATAAATAAAATATACTGATGATAAACGAGGACGATGAGTTAATGTTATACCAAGTTTACTAAACAAAAAAAAAAGGAATATGAATATTATTTAATTACTTTAAAAGGTGACTATAAAGGTTGGATTATAGAATGGAATATATATAGAATTGCAAAAAAAAAATGGCTTCCATTATCTAATAGCGTATGGTTTACCAAGTTCTACTGCATATCATTATCATCGTTCAGGCCATGGTGAAATGTGACGAACGTTGTGCATCTATTGACATATGAATGATACGCAGTAGAACTTGATAGTACTTACACTTTTAGATAAAGTCTATCTGTAAGTCATACATATATATATATATTCGGCTCTGTAGTTGAAAAAAATCATAGTCACCTTTCTTGCACAAAGAGTTTACCTTTTTAATTCCCCTAATAAATTTAATAATGCGGTAGGTGTATCAATTGTGGAATCTAAAGTATATTTAATTAATTAGTTTTTAATGATTAATGCCAAATAATGTTACGTTTATTTGCCATTGTCAATGGAATTTCTTCATCTTTGACATCAATTGCCGTCCTAAATTTATTAGAATAGTTTGTAACAGAAATATTAAAGACAACAATTAACTTGATTGTAATTAACTATTTTGTATGATTATTTAAAGAAAATTTCGATTTCATTAAATAATATCAGAGATTAATTATTTAGAAAATTATTTTGAGTCTCTAACACATAGTAGTTCTTTGAAATATTCCCTCGACTGTAGGGAGGGTCATATGAAAAAAACTAAAATGCGTTTGTCTGTCTGTTTGTGGCAGGTCAAAAAAACATTTTTCCGAAAAATTTTTTTTAGTGTAGAAACAGACTTTTTGAGAAAAAATAAATTTTTTCGACAACACCTGAAATTTTTTTCAAAAAAATTTTTTTTTTTGTGGGGGTCAAAAAAACATTTTTTTTTCGAAAATTGTTTTTTTTAATGTAGAAACAGAGTTTTTTGAGAAAACTGCACTAATATTTTCTTAACAAAGTATTTCGATAAGACTCAGATTTTTCAGCTGCAGAATGAAATTGAAGAAATCAGAAATAGTTCACAACGAAGCTTTGGTTTAGAAATCCCCGTTGAGAATTCTCATGCTATAGATCTAATGGTTTTTCGAATTAAGCCGAGTTTGGGATTAGATGAAGTGTAAATAAAAAAAGGATGGTGCTGTGGAGAAATAGAACGAAACATAGCAGCGGCTAGTCGTGAGTGGCGCCCCGGAGAGGCGCCGACGAACGATTAGCCGCTGCACTTGAAAGTCCCTTAAAGAAATGCTTCAAGCTGCTGGTATTGATCAAATAGACATCAAGAATCTAGGTCATACGGGTTTGAATAAGGAGTAGCAGTTGCTAAGAACTGAGAAATATTTTGAAATAAAGTGTGAGAACGGCTTTTCTGCACGTGTGGGATATTTGAATAGTACATTTGAGAGAAAACATTATTTATAGAATTTATATTCGTTCTATCGGAATGCTATTTGAATGAAATAAACGGGGGTTTCTTTGGTGGGATGCTTTCTTGTCGATACTAATTCAAATGTCGAAATGTATTTGGATATATTGAAGCTACCTATCTAGTCTGATGGCTAATATGAGTAGGAGCTTCTTTCAAGTGTAGTAGTCCGATTATAGACCAGACCTAATATGATTAATTGTAAGCTAGAAGTTCAAATAAGCCCTATTTTGTTAGCGGACGCTCTAGTAAACAATATTGTCGGCAGATGTGTCAGCAAGGAACGGACTTTTAGTAGAAATTTTAAGGAGTATGGCGCATTTTCACGAAAATGTCGCGAATGAGCTTTGCTTCATTACCTCTCAGAAAGCTGAATATAAGCTTCTTTTTGGGTATATATGGATGTGGTCATCATAGTGTGGTTCCTTAGATTTACTGTTGAGTGTCAATGTGATGGTATCAATTTCATTGGATGCATTTGTGACAAAATGTTTATCCGGGCCCGCATAATATTACGCACAATGAGATTGACGCCAATGTCAGCGTACACATGCCTACCCACTCTTTTGGAACATCGGATACTAGCTGTGTTGAAGACTGTAAATCGGAAGAAAAAATGGAAAGGACCGAATATGCAGTCGAGGGTCAAGCGAGTCACACGAACGAGCGTTACTTGTGCATAATTTATTTGATCTTCGTATAACATTAGACTTTCTTTTAAAACAATTACATTAATTGTGTTTATGTGGAGTGATCAATTGTACACGATGTAATTGTTTTCGTTTCTCTTTTATCTTTCCACATTGTTTCGTTTGTGAGCAACGGATGTACGTTCACTTTATAGATGATAGCAACTTTTTGTACCAGAGACCAAAAATAAAACACATCTGAATTATTTTTCAACATGTTCTTGAACCAAAGTGAACCCAAAATGATTGTTAGAAACACCAGAATGAACTGAACGAAACTTCAACCAGTAAAACACAATTTGATTCAATTTCCGCCGAGATTATTGAAAAAAATATAGTAACAAGCACTACATTTAATATGAAAATAAAATTTTACTTTTCATGTCCTTACCCCCAATGGCAACTGGAGTTACCATTTTATGTCGTCCAATTTCTTATTCGACTAATATCTTTGGAAATTTTCAAGCACATTTCTTTCAATAGCAGCAGCTTCCTACAAAATTTATCACATAGGATAATACTAGGCTATACATTTCTCGTAGGTAAAAATAACAAAAAAAAAACATAAAGGGATCCTTTTCATCAAAAGCCACCCAATTCGTCTCTTTTGTAAGTCATAAATCTCGAAAACAAAGCAATGACACAGGATCGTGTATTTTGTCAATCGATAGCTTGGTAAGTTTCCTATACATAACGTCTAAAGAGTTTTTAATATCTTACGTGTTGAATTTTCAACGATGTTTCTAAAAAATGGCAATTCCAATTGCCGATGGGGAGTAAAGGGTTAAAGAAATTATTCATATTAATCACATGAACATTATGATAAAGAAAAAAACAAAATAGGATCTGAAATCAGTGTCTTTTCACAAACTTCTGTTTGATTGAATTGATTTCGATAAAATTCTATATGATTGAACAATTTCTATTATTAGTCGATTGAAAATGATTTTGTCATTTTAATTTCGAGAGTGTGGGTGTCGATGTAGGCGAAGAACGAAACTACATGCCCAAGCTCATCCATCTACCCTCACATACCCATACCCTTTTCTTGTCGTTGTGAATAGGCACTCTCTTTTGAATTCTGTATGATCGCTGCGAAGACACTTAACTAATGGCATACGTAATCCATCCAAAGAATTTATTTATCTTTTGATTGCACAGTTCATCTGAAACAATAGATAGTGATCTATACGCTGAGAAAAAAAGATCTGGTTTACTGCTTATATTTAGATTTTGTTTTTATGTATCATTTATGAGAAAATACTAACTGCCTTTGGTCATCTGCATCATGCGGGTGTGAATCGAATAATATACAGCACATGTATAGATATTCAATTTGATGACTTTTATTCAATCTGTTATAAAATACAACGAAAAATATATATACCAAATGGCGAAAGTAAGAAGATATGACAAAAATATATCCGTTGTTAGTGATTTAACTAAAAAAGAAAAAAGCAAAATTTAGTCGCTTAAATGAGGAGAAATAAGGAGAAGAAACAAAAAACTCAATACCAATTATAATTAGAACTATGACTATTAGAGTAAATAAGTGATAATCAGAGAAGTATTGTTTGATGTTGTTGGAAGAACAAGTATAGGTATCTGTCGTTGGAGTATGATCGTCAACATTCATAGGCATTTGATGTATTTGAGTGCTGTGGTATTGTTCTACAACGTGTAATAATTGTTCATTGTTGTTCGTAACAAAATTGATTGCTACACATTTTTCAGAGAATCGACTATCATAGCCAATACTTAAAAGAGTATAGGAAAAGGTAAACATAAAAACACTAAGACATGTATGCTAACGATTTCTAGTCTTACCGATGAATATAATTTTCAGGTTTGCTGGGTAAGTCATAATTAATGATAAGACTAATTTGTGGTACCTCAGTGATAGGTGTAGGTGAATCAGCTGTATTTAAAATAGGACTATAACCTGTTCGAAATTTTCTCATAACAGCATGACACTCCATTAGGTTCATATTACCATGCTAGAATGAAGGAAAAAAAAGGCAATAGAGTTTGTATCACTTCTTATTTGCTCTAATTATATTTAATGTGAAGATCACTAAACAGAAAAGAAGAATGAGTTTACGATTGATGTATTTAGCATTCTGTCCATTCTAGATGATTACATGTATGAAGCCAAGAAAATTCGAATGGTTGGTAACATTGATCACAAATCCTTAACGAAAATGACAAGAAAATGTCGACATTACACTTACCACGGCGGACACAGTAAAATCTCGTGAAAAAAATTCTTTTGTTAACCATTTAACTTTTCGAAGTGTGTTGCAAAAAATAACAGCTCGTTCGATTCGAAAAGTTTTGTAAAATTCACAAAGCATATCTACTTTCCGTTCCTAGATGACATTCAAATAAAAATCTAATCACTGTTTCGTAAGATTTTGTCCATTCGTTTTACCTCACGTTCGACAAAAACGTAAAATTGACGAATCTCTTCGAGGGTTAATTTATTTTTAACAAGAATTTTAATCGGATTCTTCGTGAATTTAGTCGTAACTTCGAGTACGTCGCTTGGCATAGTAGCTGATAGATGAATAACCTGTATGTGTTGTGGGATGATTTTCAATATATTACAGATTTGTTTTTTGAAACCATGTGATAACACTTTATCAGCTTCGTTTAATATGAGTAATTTGATATTTTTGCTAACTAAGATAGAAATAAAGATACTCCATTAGGAACAATACTGTCGAACACCTACGAGAAACTGATCTTTTAAGCATATCGTAAACATATCCTGGTGTACCGACAACAATTTGAACACCTGCTTCAAGATGTTTCATGTCGTTACGAGTATTAGTGCCATCGATAAAAGTATAACATGTGACATCTATATAATGACCGAGGGCTAAAACTATTTTTTGAATCTGTACAGATAAGAACAAAGAAAAATAATCATTCGCAATTCGAAAGACTCGTGACTCATATAAATTTACTTCTTGAACTGACTTTTGAGTGGGTGTTAAAATTAAAACTTGATAATCCACAACTTTAACATCGAGTTGTTGTAATCTCGGAATAGCAACCGTTTTCATTTTTTTTGTACCCGACTGCGCTTGGACATCAGCATCATGACCTATGATAATGATCAATAACAACAGAAACAGAAGAGCTTGCTCAACATACTTACCGGAAATACTTATTTTGATCGCACGTTGTTGAACAGCAGCCAGTTGTTCAACGTCATAATCATAAACACCAGGTATAAGTAGTTCACGTAAATTCATTTGATCGAATTGTGCGTCTATTTCAATCTGTGGGCCATCGATTGTTTCATCTAAGAAGACAATTGATTGAAGTCAATTCGCACTTCGAAATGAAATCTATCGCTCCTCTTCCCTTACCAGGTTCCACGGATGGAATATATGTGTTCAAATTTTGAATGGTGTCATTCCTAGAAATAGCAATAATAAAGGAAACGAACAACAAGCATAGGTTAAAAGAAGAAAAGCAAAACGGATTGTACTCCTTCTCATATATTCAGTTTGATTGTTGATATAGTCAAACGTCAAATAAATGATAAAAGAGTCAATATATATTATTTTTATAAGTTAAAAACAATAGTGTGCTCTCTCTGGATCGATTTCAGTACACATTTCGAGAGTCAGACAAGTCGTTTGAGCAATATGTTGAACTATTCAAGATGTTTCTCTATCATCTAAACTACAGAGTGTCTGGTTGACATCAATAGAGAGACTTCGTACAAATGAAATTTTTTCTTAGCAAATCGTCAATTTCAATAGGAGTTTCTATTATGTAGTAATATATGTGACTGCGATTGAGATTGTATCCTTCTAGAATAATATTTTTCTTAGTGTGTTCTAAATAAATACTGAAAAGTTTCTTATAATTAATATCATTACTATCTGTTCGTGCTAGTGTAAATATGAATAGCCAATTCATCTAAACTCACACCAACAGTCCTGTATCATTTGGTGACGAAAATGATCATTGTTAGTAAAAAGATATCAAGCAAAACAAACTGTACGTTTTACTTAAGTACACTGTAGTAAATATACTTCTCAAAAGTTTTGAGTAAGTATTATTTACCCTTGTACTTACCGTAATGGTAGCGAACTAATGTCTGAATCATTTGACACATGAGAAATAATTTTTCTTTTGATAGCATCAGTCAACAGTTCCATCCAAACAAGATCATCTTCTGCAATTTTTGTCAGATTACCAATAATATATAAAGCGCATTTTGCACGAGTCAATGCAACATTCAATCGTCTCATATCTCTCAAGAAACCAATTTGATTACCACTTCGAACGCATGAAACAATAACAAAGTCCTTCTCTTGACCTTGTGCGCCATCGACAGTCAGGACTTCCACATCAGGAGGAAGAATACTTTGAAGAAAATGCTGTTGAGCACGATAAGGGGTAATAACTGTGATTCGTCTCCTCACTTCCTTGAGAAAATCATTTAAATGACTATCTCCTAGTTGGCGTTCCACCAGATATGCAATCAACCTATGGCAAAGCGCTTTAACGAACCACGCTTCGTTTTCGTTTAGTATTGAGCGGTTATGGTCTCTTGTTTCTCCATCTACATTTCTATCGTAATAATGGAGCGGTTGAAGATTAAACATGTGCATGCGTTCATGCACAGATGAATCAGTTTCCAAGTTTCCTTCATAAAACTTTTGATTTGGAAAAGAACAAATTTGCGAATGCATTCTATACTGAGTAGTCAGTTTCGTGATTGCATCGCTTTCTGATAAAACACCATATAGACGCTCATACAGCGATTTTTCAAGACCATTGTTTCCAGCAGTATTACTAATTACTGTCGGTGGCAATTGCTTTGGGTCCCCGACAAGAATTATTTTTGAACAATTAAATCGTAGAGGGATCAGAGTATCTGCCACCAAACCCTGGGTAGCTAGAATACGAAACAATATATTGTTGTGTTATTATGATTCTAATCAACATATACACATATGTTTGCGTTTACCTTCATCAATTATTACGAAGCCAACCTTGCCAATAAGTGAAAGTAGCCGCGAACTGGCACAATTATTTAATGTGGAAACAATTACTCGAGCATTTTTTAATACTTTTGCTTGATACTTGCTTATATTCACAGGCTCTAATTCGGGCTCTGTTTTAAGGCGTCGGAATATTTTATCAAGTATGATAAAGTTAAGAAAGTGATGGCAGAGTTCTTCATCATTCGGTGGTTGAAAGCCCATGCGAACGAGAGTATGTCGTCCTACATCAGTCATTGAGGATTATTTCATACAAATAAACTCGATTTACTCTACCTGGCCTTTGCTCTTGAGGTAATATTTTAAGTATACGACGCGATAATTCGTCACATGCGTTATTCGAAGGCGCGCATATGAGTATTTTCTGTCTTTCGAATAATTTATTTGATAATAAATTTTGAACTACTCCAGCAATAGTTGTACTTTTTCCAGTACCTTTACGAAGAAGGAGAAGCAAGAGCATCCGTCGAATCAATGAATAGTAAAAGTTTGTGTCTTACCTGGCGGACCAAGAACTAAATGCAATCGTTCTATATCATCAGCATAGATGTGCTCAGCAATATCAATTATTTTGGTTTGTTGCAAGTTGTAGCCGGGCTTCTCTTTTGTTGGCTTAGAAAAGGTACTAGGAAGTCCGAAATATGTATCTTTAACCTCTGGAAATATTAGAGAGCATCTATGGGGACAATTGTCGAATTCATTAATTGCTTGAATCATGCGAGCTGATGATGTAATGTTACTAATTCTCACTAGTGGAATTTCTGATGTCATTATTTCTTGTTGCTTTGCAACAACTTTGGCACATTCTTCAGAACAATAAATGCCAAGAACAAGACGTAATATGGCCCTCGCTACTTTATCTACTGTACTCCTAGCTGTCGTTGGATACGCATTTCTTCTATGTTCCTTGATTCGTATCTGTCGCACATAGACAATAACACCCAAATATTTCTTTCCATTGATAATCACACAAAGAACATCGAATAGACTAGGTGCTTTGGTCGAGTGTCTGAACGAATCATCTAAACAGTAGACATCAAACAATATGGAGGAATTGTTGCAAAAAGTCTTACCAATTGTTGAATAAATTGTTCCCACGATAATAGCAGTTTGTTTCGTTCCGCATGCTGTAGACATTTTTTCCATATCTTTCACACTGATCACTATTGTACGATCTTGAGGGGGCACTGCATTATTTTTGAAATCATGCAACATTGAAGCCCACGCTTCGGAATAATGTAATGTTGTGAGACCGGAACAGAATTTCGAAAATTCAGCTTGAATTTTTAAATTACTACTTGAATGATTTAACGAAGTACCTATTTGATTAAACGGTTTAAATGGATTTTGTGTTTTTTTATAATGTAATTCTCTCGCAGAAGTGTTCTCTTGGGCAAGTAAATCCGGATTCCATTCAGTGACAATTATATCAAGTAGCTTACGAACAGAAGAACTTGAATCCTGTCCCCATGTCGATGCTCCTATAATTGTTTGTCTGTTCGAATGACTTTTTAACTTGTCATCTGGATCTATATAGCTGACGCGAAAACCTCTGAGTTTCTTTGTATAGCATTGGGATAACAGATTTATTAATTGAGCTTTCCGCCAAAGTTCTCTGTCGGGTCCATTCCGACGTTGTTCTAACCAAGCGCAGTTAGAATATGGATCACTGCTCGTGGTCATATCTTTGTTTGTTTATATTGATTTAACTGATCTATAATGTAACAGAAAGAAAAGAAATATAATTGAAAATCGTTTTGTCTCTTAATTTTTTGAACAGTTGATGCTATAGAATACAAAGGAATGGTCAAGTACAATGATGAGATAATTTCATTGAAAGACAGGTCTATTTTGAAGATTTAGCAACTCATTCCTTTGTGGAAAAGCAAAATTTGCATGCTAACTATTTTTGCAAGACCATTGACGAAAGACTTCTATTTTTCTTCAACGAAATTGTTTTGATTTTACCGAAGAAAGTCAACAAACGGCTGTGTTTATGTTATATTCCGTGAATTCTACAACGACCTTTGTTGTCATCGGTTTCCTTTATTCATAAATCTTCAAGAAATCATTTACTTCCACAAAATTTCCGATGATTAGAGCATGAACTGATCTTCTGAATTTTAAATAATTATAGCTTGCAGCTTTACTATCGAAACTGATTACGATTATAACTATACGTTTGTGTTACACTAACCTGTTCCATTTCTTAAGTTCTCGTAGTGTCTGAGTTCTGCAACTACTAATAAATATTTTTAAAATATCAGTAAACTTATATGTTATTGAGCTAACAAATATCAATTGAAGAGAGTTTTGGACAAAAGACAAACCCAAAAAGTTATATACAGTTTGTTTTTTTGTAAACTTAGTTGTTTTTGTAAGAGTTTTTGATCCGCATAGTTTATGTATAAGACTTATTTTCGTATATTCCTCTTAACTAGAATTGTAGGCTTCGTAAATGAATCCGATTATCGATGACTTTGGCTAGTTCTTTTGTATTAACTAAACATGGAGGAGCGTGTGACTGCGAACTAACAAGATTGGTCATAGTCGAATTAAATGAATACTCTCACTTATAGACTAACTCATTAAAAATATGAGCTACCAATAGCTTACATAGATTACGATGTTTACATTTCATGATATTTGCAGTTTGTCATGTGTCCAATTCCGCTACGAAGTATCACACATCCTTATTTCTCTTTTGTGATCGTAAGTAAATGTAATGCGACTTTTTTTCATAGGGAGAGGTAATTTGAAGCCAATTATAAATTTTTGTTTATTAACCTTATAACTAAGACAGATTTGCCCATCTATAACGAAAAAGGAAAATGTATTGCCCCCTGACATTTCATGGTATGAGCATATCACAAATCATAAACTTTTTGAAACTTCAATATGTCGAACATTCAGCACATTCATTCAACTCGACTCTGGTCAATCTCCTTAGCTTACAATATACGGTCTTTTCCTTTAATCTATATAAGTCTTATGCTATATTTCTTTAGTTTAAGCTATGTATACAATTTAAGTACGAGACAATAAACAAAAAACTGAAGCATTTTGTGTATGTCAACATGATACCCATTGGTGTTCAACAAGTTACTCTATCTGATTAGTTTTCGATTTTCGTCTTTCATCTAACAATCGTAGCTAAAAAACCAGAAACAATTCTATTCCTTTTCTTTTCTTCATTGTCCATAGAAAGAACAAGTACGAAGTACACATGTGAT